CGACGAGGTCATCGGATTTTTCAGTTGACCTAATCCTTCCAGCCGCAATATGGCCCTGGGGTCGACTCAGCCTCTAACAGAACTGAGTACCAGGAATCTTCCTGGGGGTAAAGGGCCGCAGAAGACTAAGACTGACCTCACCGCCATCTATGAGTCGATTGTCTAGAAAATGTGGCAGCCTCGACGTCTCAAAACCCTATGGGCCTCCACGACCTGTTACAGGGATAACTTTACCATTTTTATCATCAATGAGGGCTCTCCTCCATGGAGTTAGGCAAACAGTCACGCGATACAATGCACCTCTGGAAACAAGTACAGAAAACCACAGACAGATGTCTATCCTGTAACGAGAATCAAGGATGTAAAATATGCTAATAATAATAATAATAATAATAAGAAGAAGAAGAAGAAGAAGAAGNTCCAGACGCGGTTCCTACAGCTGAAATGCGTACTGCAAGCGGCACGCGCGGATTTATGCAATAAGTTACACAGAACAATGGCTGGTGTAAACACATCCATCTTCTAACACCTATTTCGTTACGTTTGTTTGTCGATTCCTCATGAAGGGCGCGCCATTTGGCTCTTTCTCAAGGTCTACCACACGGCATCAATAATTCTATACAAATTAAATACTTCTCGATACAAACCGAGTTTCGTTGCCCATGCAACATCTGGGGTGATTACAACGGAAACTCAGACCTCAAGTTAGAAAATGGAGGCTTGGCGTAACCATTCTGGAACATTTCGCTCCTCCGAAATACGTGGGAAGAATAGTACCAGCTCGAACGCGACTATTGGTCCCACGGAAGATTATGGGACGTTGCACCAGAGTTAAATCGGATGATATCTCGGCCTATCAGAAAGCGCCTTACAAGTAAGCCTGCTGTTACTTGCAGCAGCCTGCATTAACTCGAGAAACCTACGTGTATTAACCGGCCTATGTCAGGGGTTCAAAAACTTTGTTACCTTCACACCATAAAACGATGTGTAAAATTACGCGGTTACCCCCTCCCATTCACTCCTTTCTGTCAGTGAAACGGGCGCTTTTGCACATTGTTGCAGGTCCCTATCAGTCTGTAGCGTTACAGCCTCTCTACACCCACAGTAAGGTATAAAAAGGTCCTGTACAGTAATAGAAGCAAATCTCGATGTCTTTACCAGCTGCAGATCCATTTTCTGACTGCAGCTATAACAAAATCTTACTGCTCTGCCAAAAATTGTGCGTGAACACAACTACACTTTAAAAAATCCTTGAAACCTCGACGACCACCTCTGGAGTACGTTGCGGCTCTGAGCTTGGGAAAACATTCCCTAAGGACTTCGGTCCATTACATAAAACTACTCGTAACTTAGTTCCAAGGAATAGAGTCCTTTATTCAAGTGGACAATAAAATCCCAGAATTTTTCGCCACCCAAAGGTTCATTACCGTGTACACAAAAGCCCTCCACTGATCAGTATCCTGAGCAAGATGAAACCAGTCCACACACTCCCATACTATTTCTTTACGATTTCCTATCTACAACAAAGTCTTCCAAGCGGCATCTGCCCTTCGGATTTTTAACGGAAGTATCCGTTCTGCTCTTCTCTCACCCCTACTACATGCCGTGCCCACCCAACCCTCCACGATTTGGTCATCTCGTGGTATCTGGCAAGGACTACAGCTGTCTCCATCCTCTTATTATTTCATCCTTCTTCGGTCCCCTCAGCACCCTCAGTCTTTGTTCCTCTTATTGTCAGATGGCACATGGTCTACTGAAGTTTCAAACTGTCCGTGCACCACGCCATTCAGGAAGGAGGTATGGTTTAGACATCCTTAGCCTCGGCAATAAATATAGGTGAGTAGCTTCAAGCCTCAGCCGCTTCTCCCCCTTGCAGATAGCCCAAGGTACCCATTTGAGAGAAGACTGGGTCAGCCCCACACGCTGTGGAGAAGAGAAAAATTTGTTGTCCCTGCCGGGAACCGAACCAGGTTCCTTTCTTCGTGCGCCCAGTCGTTACATCGGCTCAGGTCTATTGCATGTAGCTGTACAAACGTAAACATTACGACACGGGTTCAACACCCAACAACCAGCACTCGCAGCTCCAAACTAGACTGGGTTCCCATCACGGGGCGGAGGCCCGCAGAAAGGAATGCTGCGGCCTCACAGCGCAAGGCCGCAGCCTGGGCCTACACACACAACCCACGTATACTACCGCGCCCTCACCGCCCGGCTTCGCCCACTTCTAAGCAAACAGTTAAATCCTGTGGAAGGTTGGTTGTCAGGCCGAACCTTGAACGTTCCATTATCAACTGGCTGCTAATACAGTCCGAATGTTTCACGCCGCCAGCGGATCCCAATCCTGAGCCAGTTCAATCCGCGAGATTTCGGTTCTCGAGGCGAGGACCATAAAGGTAGCTACAGTATTGGATGTGACGCCGTGTAGTCTAGTAGACTGTAACGTTCATACTCGAGGTAGACTGTGCTATGCTGGAGAATGGGCCAATGGCAGACCTATGTGGAAGGAAAGCCGAGGTTCGCTCTTACCCTCTTACTATCTAAAAGTCCGGCCTTTTTTAGGGCCACATGATTTGATTTTGCACTTCTCCTATTGGTTTGCTTATAGAACAAGTCAGTGTCCTTCTTATATATGAGACATCTTGTTTTTTTTATGTGTGGCTTAGGCCTATTCTTCTACCCTGAAGATGGAGGTTGCAGGTTCCTCCAAAACATTGGTAAATATCTACCAGACCACGTGGGGTCATATGCCAGACTCCTATTCCTTTCTTCTTCCATCTTCCTCATCATTCTGCTTCTTTCTCTTCCCTTCATTCTTCTCATTCTAGTGCCAGATTCACACGGGGATGCCCGGATGGCCGTCAGTACACTCACTAGGCTGTGGGACTGGAGTAACAGAAATTGAGATCTGATTCCTGGCAGGAACAAGACTTTTTCCTCAGAGTCCAGACAGGCTCCGGTGCCCACTCACCTTCTCCCCAATCGGTACTGGAGCCTCTTTACCAGGAGTAAAGTGACTCGAGGAAGGAGAGTTAAGCTGACCACTCACCCCCAACTATATCTCCATCGAGGGGTGATTAATTAAGTACAGGGTCTACTTTTACAGAATCAGCACAAATTGAAATGCATTGTAACAGCAGTAGCCTAGGCTATTAATGACAAATGCATTCTGGGTCTGAAAAGTTTGATACATGAGATACGAGTTCTCACAGCACTGGCTGCGAAGATAAGTCTTCTGGAACATGACACCACACAGCGTGGTAGTCTACAGAGCAGTACCTTCCTCTAAAACACTGGTAGTGGTCTACTAGATTGCACAATGTTGTATGACAGAAGGCAGAACCCTTCAATTCTAATTCTAATCCATACTTGTATATGTTCATGTGCTGAATATGTAATGTACATAAACAGACACCACAACATACTACAGAAATTAGCAGCGAACTTCTTGTCTATTAAAGTGAACACCAGAACCCAGCAGTTTCTAGTAGGTCAGAGTAATATACACAGTACACAAATATTTTGGGATATTATTTGATCCTGTAGAAGTTCATCAACATTTCAAAGCAAGGTACTGTTGGGCATCTTACTTGTTCTTTGCTTGGCTTATTCTTTGACACTGAAGATGGAGATAATACATTCCTCTGAAATGTCAGGCTCTCTCCAAACTACACAACATCATAACCCACAGTTACTGCTGTGAACACTTCAGATCCAGCAAATATTACACTATAGTGTCATTTCCAGTGTCCATGGGAAGTGAAGAAAACTTAAGGCTGCAAAACATGTGGGATCCTCATAGACGGATTCAATGCATTTCATGAAGCCTGGTTAATTAGGATATGGAACAAGTCAGGTGTGAAGAGTACTATCATCTGGGATATAATGCAGTGCAGTCCAGTGAAAGTCAACTGATGTTTCAGAAGTATATATCTCTATCTTCAGGGTCGAATAAGCTGAACAAGATACCAGAATGAAAGTAGCTGGCACAGGCATTATATCACAGAAAATAGCACTCTTCATAACCACCGATGTGAGAACCTCAGATCCTACAAGTTTGAATGTAATTAAATAAGGTCATGAGCTCACAGTACATCAAGCACAAGACACAACACACTATATATTACATAAATAGGTAAATCCTTATAATTATTTCACATGAAATATTATAATTCCATATATAATTCACAACTAAGATTTTAAGTTTCAGGAATTCAACAACATAGTTGAAGGTGTCTAACCAAATTAATTCTTTTAATGCCAAATGAAATCTTATTCTTGGTATTGCTAAATGAATCAATGTAAACCTTCACATGGGGACTATAGTCATTCCATGTACTTGAAACTGTTCACAGTTTAAAAATGCCTCTGCAAGGATTACGAGCCAGTGTTCTGCAGTGTAGCAATTGCAACTCACAGTTCACATTCGAGATATCCTAGATTCCAATTTCAAGCTGGCGACTGATTATCCTGATTCAGATATCTGTGGGTCTACGCCGTCTTTCGAGCAAGTTACAGGATAATACACTAAAATGGGTCACAACAGCTTCCTTCCATATTCTTCCAATTTATCATTCATAATCATCCTACCACTTGACGTTATACATACCCAATTAAGATGGAAACATTTCGTTAAATAAAGTAACATTTAACCTGTTCTGCAATACACAGAAAACACTCTAAGCATTTACTTACCTTGGATCAAATGAAATTTCAAGATACCGCTCTTGTATGGGTGATCTAATCCATATTTCATAGCGTCTGTCTTATTGGAATAAAGGTATTTTTTTGATGACAATTTCAAATCCCACACTGTAACTATTACACGACAGTGCACTGAATTCATATAATCACGCGGTTACAACGTCCACAGAATTTGGAGCGAATGTCAACAGAAGCACGTGACATTAATGTCACATACGATTCTGAACTGTTGGAATACGTACAATATAGTTAAAATTACTTCCTTTCTGAATTAAATACATACGCTCCTTCACTCCATTATCAAAACACTTCACAAACCTACATTAAAACAAAAGTATAACTTCATGTTTTCAATAGTCTACAGAACATTCACCCCAAAAAACCACGGCGTCCATTTACCGACAATTTAATGCCAACGTAAACAATCAAGCGACAAACGAATGTTCTTATTAAAGACATTTTCTTCCCGACTGTAAAAATTCAAACATTATAGATGTGTATGTGAACATATATAATTTCAAGGTTTTTGTTCTTCTTACACTGTTTGCCTTTCTATACCTAGTGTAACAATACTAGCAACATATTATTTATGAAACCAAGTAGATTAGTTGTCTCACTAAGTAGTATTGATGGAGGTGAGTTAAAACGTCACGAGTTATTCACCAATCACATTCAAATACACCAGTCCCAACATGCAAGTATACCATTGCGGATGTGTTGAAATTGTGTGAGGAAGTAAGGTGTTACGTTATTATTTTTCGACTTGTTGGTTTATAATGGCTCCAAGTATCGGTGTGAATCTGCGAGTTACGGGGCATTGTAGTCAGGGGGGTAGGAAATATATGGAGGACATGTTTTCCGTTGCGTATCAACAGACAGAAGATGAGAAAGATCTTGAATATGCTTTCTTCGGAATTTTCGACGGCCATGGCGGGCGAGAAGCTGCAACGTTTGCAAAAGAACATCTTATGGATTACATCGTAAATCAGAAGGGGTTTTGGTCTGATAAAGATGAAGACATTCTGAGGGCCATACGAGATGGATTTCTACAAACCCATCTCTCTATGTGGGGGCAATTAGGTGAGTGGGAGGTCTGAGGTAAATAGCTGTATTAGGTTATGTAAGACATTGATGTGCTTGAAAGCCCGTATTCAAATAGTCGTTCAGAAATAGTGATCACATTATATCATCAACTCTTTATATTTTCAGAGAGTTGGCCGAAGACGGTATATGGGCTGCCTAGTACGTCTGGCACAACAGCAAGTGTAGCTTTTATTAGGAAGGGAAAGATATATATAGGTCATGTTGGTGATTCTTCCATTGTGTTGGGTTATCAAGAAGAAGGTTAGTTGGAAACATATATTTGCGTAGGTTATATACGTACATGTTAAATTAATGAGCCTGATAATAATAGACACGCTTCTGATGTTTATTATGCATTTGTTAAGCTGTGATTATGAAGGTTTTTTTGTTCCTGGACCAGTGACATCCTAGAATACAACTGGAAATATCGTTGACGCCATACGTGGGTCAGGTAATTTGAGTAATTCCAGAATACAACAAATGAATATTATTGTTCACTGATTATTTATTGGGATGACTAAGTAAATAGTACCTGTGGACATCAATAGCAGAAGTGGGGACTTGACAGCTTGCTCATACTGATGATCATAGTCTAGATTTAAGCCAATAAATTCTTCAAGTTGTAACACGTGATTAAGAAACTATCTTTAGTATGAAAATATCCAACTGGAAACATCTTGGAAAAATGTTGCCACTACAAATGTGGTCAAATATCAAAATTATATTTACAAATGAAAGAAACTGTTACTCCTTATACAAACAACAATTATTTTTTTTTTCTCTTGTTCTATCAGACTGATTCTTAAAGAGCATTAGCTTCTTATGAAGTATTGATGGCTGTGGGCTGGGCACCTTTCTAATTAATGTACATGTCACTTTCTGAAAATCAGCTCAGTGCTGGCATTGCATCGCCATTAACGTTTCCCAGAGATTAAGAATTAAATCCTTCAGTGTAGGATGATGGAAATGTTGGAACATTAAAAGTCTGATGAATATGGCAGCTGTTTTATCACTGGTATTTAGTTTCGATTAGAAGAAACGTAATTGCGAGTGTAAAACACAAACCATTATGGTGGGGTTTGGTTCTGCACATTCAGGAAGTTGTTGTCTACTTGGCAAAAATAATTTTTATTTTAGTCGCAGATAATTTTATCTGAACACGCATGATATTTACATGTGGGCCCCTTTTCAGTCAGACACCTCTGACTTCACAGCAGTGCACGTATCTGAACAGCTAGCTCATTGTAAGCTAACATGATTCAAATATTAGGATAAACGAATCTTGGTATACTCCACCTGCTGTGGCAATGAGGGTGCCTCATTGTCAGTGATGTAGACTTATGTCATCATTAGAAAGGTACCATATTTTATTTTCACCATTATTGGTGTTCATACACCAATGGGAAATTCAGGCATACATACACAGTATTTTTCTTCTATAAGCTTGCCTGCACAAAGTATGGTGTGCCCTGTTTCCTAGAATAGGTGGGTGTTAGCAGTAGTGCCAATGTTCTGAGCATGTAAAATATGACATGCTGTGCTGAACTCAGAGGAATGTATGTTGGAGAAGTATACTTATGTTTTCTGTTACAATCAAGGTGAAACTGTGTGGAAGGGGCGACCTCTGACTAGGGACCATAAACCAGAGAGTGCAGATGAGACAGCAAGGATTGTGCAGTCTGGTGGTAAAGTGGTAAGCAAATCAGGAGTACCCAGAGTTGTTTGGAATCGGCCACGTCTTGGTCACAGAGGCCCTGTACGAAGATCTACACACATAGATGAGATTCCTTTCCTAGCTGTTGCCCGGTCTCTTGGTAAGCTGTGACATTTTTCTCCTGCTCTTGCTAGAATCAGAGCATGAATATCGAGCAGTGTGCAATGAGCTGATGTGCTTGCAGGTGACCTGTGGAGTTACAATTCAGAATTAGATCAGTTTGTGGTGTCACCAGAACCAGATGTTGGGGTCATTACAGTGGAAGTTGGATGTCATCGCTGCCTTGTCTTTGGAACAGATGGACTATGGAATATGCTTAGTCCCAATGCAGCAGTGGCTGCTGTGCAGGAAGCGGAACAGCACAATGAGAAACACGTTCTGCAGCAGCACAACTCAGCACATGTACGTCTGCAGAAGACAGGGAACTGCCACATTAAGTTTGATTTCCCATATATTGATTTTTATCTGGAAGGAGTTCTTCAGAATGTGGTTCTGGGTTGTGACACATGTAATCGTGTTGACATATACCAATGTTTCAGAGGAACATGTTGCTTTCGACTTCACTGTTCTATTCCCCTCCTGTGACAAAAGATGTAATGGCCTTCTTCCTGCCTACCATTGCAATTCACCAGACCAGGCTTCATTGATATTGGTACTGGGAGGACACCCTTCACTTGCCCCAAGCACTCCTAGTGGTGTAAGGGCATTTCAGGGAGCCAGAGATGTCCTCATATCTTTCAGTACTAACTGTGCAAAGCCAAACGTCACTTGGCTGGGCATTGACAAAGTATATGGTGGGAGAATTCCTCTTCCTGCCAAGATTTGCTACACATGGAACTTTCAGAGTGATCTGTAATATGTTTGTGCTGTCTCGATGTACAGTGGTCAGTCACCAACCGTGTTACCAGCCTACACCGTTTCCCGTCTAAGGTCAGTAGGACCGTAGAGTCATTGAAGAGCTTCAGCTGTCTTACCTGATGCAGCAGCCCAGTGTTTGGGGTGCCTATCCTTCAGCCACTCAGCCTTGAGCCTGCTAACATGGTGAGACTGAAATTGCTGGTTTGAGACTGAAGAATGGACTCTTCAGTCCCTTCCTAGTGAAGGCATCTGCATCCGCATCACCCTGAATCCCAGCGGTGAGGACCCAGAGGAAGATAACCTTGTTCCCACTGGATGGGACACACATTGCTTCCTGACATTTCCAGATAAGCTTCAGCATCACCCTCAGCATGTGAATGGGTCCATATTCTGTACCTCTTTTCTTGGGTCTGAATGACCACATATCTTGCAGCCTTCCGGTAGAACCCAACTAATTCCGCACCCTACAACCCTGAAGCTGGAATCAGCAGGTTCCTCCAAAACATTGGTTCCTATATGGTGTCACATCCCAGAACACAGTACTGTTAACACTCACTGCTGTGAGAATCATTAATCTTCCACAGTTTGTGCTTAGTTAAAAATGAATTTATATTTTGAAAGGTACAATATCCTACTCTTTTCGAGTTGACATCACACCGGTTCTGGACATATTAATGATATTGAGATACAGCTGTGCCAACTTTTCGGCAGTCAAATTCCCGGCACTGAGCAGTTGTGCCCTCATGTTTAAATATCATTGTTCATGAAGCCAGGCATCAGACACAGTTGTGCATGCATAACAAGTACATTGCTTCATTTGGTTTGTCGCTCAGTTTGTCATATCATGATAACATTGTTACAGCAGCCGCAGGTATGGATCAATCCATCTAAAAACCTGGTGGATCGTGCCCTTGATCGTTGGTCTGCAACACGGCTGCGAGCAGACAACACTAGTGTGGTAACATTAATGCTTGACCCACCAGGTCCCCCTCGGGCTCAGGTAAGGAACCACACGATGCAGTGACGTTAAAGTTTACATGCTGCTGCACAACATCGAGATTTGTCAAGTGTCATGTTGCATATTATTTTGGTTACTGTTGCATGTGCAGGTTCTGTTAAGCCAAAAGCAGCAGCAATTGGAGCAGCTAGCAGACATGCCTCTTCCTCAGTGGGAACCACACACACCCATCGCCTCTCCCTGTCAGCCCAATAAGAAGGTTGAACCAAACATCAGTGCATTGCAGAGTGGATCGTCATGTTCCAAGGATATACAGAACTATGATCCCACCGGAGGAGTAGCCATCTTCACCCGTTATCCTGTTGCCACATTTGCAGGTGAAAGTCCAGACAGTAGCACTGGGCGAGTTTGCAAAGTTGGGAGCATGTTGCACCAGGAGGCGAAGACCCACCATTCCTCTGCATCAGTGCAGATCAATGAGGTATCCTCGAGCAACTCGGATGACACACCATCGAAACCCGCATCTTTGGTTAGGCAGCGTGCTTTCAATTATGGGAGTGAGAACACCAAGTGCAGTGTGGGTGGGAAACGCCGGCATAGCTCCATAGCGAAACTCTTGGATCATGGAGCTGATGGAGATATTGCTTCTGGTTATGAACCGTGCCCTAAACGTCGCACCAGGTCAGAAGACAAGCGCCTTTCTGCCCCTCCCACAGAATATGATCTGAACACAAGTGACGTCGAAAATGAGAGGGTTGCCTGGCCTACACAGTGGCATGAGGAACGCAAGGTAAGGCTCAATTTGGAAAAGAAAGTGCTGCTACAGCCATCGGCAGGTGTTGCGAAGCTGAGGCTGCCTGCCTTCCTCCTGCCCCGGTCCAGGAGCACAACGCGCATGTTACGCTCTGATACGGCTGCAGCGCTGCCCATTCGCACCTTACGGTCCCGCAACATCAATATTGAACAGTCTAATGTTAAGTCCTTGAAGAAGGCATCACATACAAGTCCCCTTCCAGCAAGGCTGGGCGCTGATACAAGTTCCTCCGGCAGCCGCCATAGACAGACATGCTGGGGAAATATTGTGAAATCCAAGGTGAATACACGTAGTCGCAAGTGAAAATGAATATTTGTAGACAGGCAACTGAAGTGAAATTCCGGTGATCACTTACATTTAACATTTAACCTTCACAAGCCATGCATTGCATTATTTGAGTGCCACATGTGCGGTCTAGCGGACAAGCTTTGCATTTGCTTCTGCTTATACAGTTTCCTCCAGTTTAAAATATGTCTACCAACCTAGCAGTATGGATGGATTTAAAATCATTACTCCCAGACAATAACATTAAATACTGGATTTTAAATAGCCTAGTAGCACTATTTTTTGGGGGGTGGGGTAAATGTAAATTATAATTTAAAATGTAGGGAGAATAAATATTTTGGTAAGCAGTATGTCAACTAGTAAATGTGAAACATAAATTGTAAATATGTCATGTTGACTATGGGGTCATAACATAAATATGCCATATATGCATGTTGATGTTATTGCTTCAGAAATTCCCACCTCTGCATGGGGTTGTCATTTGAAGTGCCCAGAATTGAAGACTACTATCTTCTGGGATGTGACACCATGTAGTCTCGTACAAGTTTACTGATGTTTCAAACGAAAGTACTGCCCCCATATGCAGGAAAGCAGCAAGCAGAGTGCACTGTAATCCTGAAGATGGAAGCATTGTGTTCCTTGAAAACGTCAGTGAACCTCTACCAGATTACATCACATCCCACAACATAGAACTATTCAGTCACTGCTGTGAGAACATCAAGTGTCATGTATGCAGAATGTAATTCTCAAGGTGGCAGATTCATAATTAGACCCGTACAGCTTATGTTCCTGTATCTTAAAGATTGATACAGGCATAAACTGTAGCAATGTGTTGCCTCTATCCCTTCGGTTGTGCCTTGCGATGTGGTTGAACCCTTTTACTTACTTCATTATATCCAACCATTTTAACAGAACGTAAATGTATTGCAGAGGTATCATTTTATACTCTTGTTTGCGTTACAGTTTCCTTTAGCTAGATCTCCTTTGATTAGGATAATTTTTATAGTAGACAGGCTGTAGTTTTGTGTTGTTTGTGCATTTTATGGGATGAACTCTGAGAGCATATGGTATGAAGTTACCATAGAAATATTTTTAACATTTGTGTGTTTGCACATTTTGTGTGTGTGTGTGTGTGTATAATGTGGTTTCTACACTAAAGTACAGCAGAATCGGGAGTCATGGAGTTTTCAGGCAAATAGTTCTCTAATGCTGTTAAAGTTTTCATTTGCATCCTGAATGTCCCAGTAGACCCTGATGTTACACCACAGGCACTGCCAGAAAATTTGCTTACAGATTTACATTTCACATTTAATACTACAAACAGTATAAATATTTATACTGTTTGCCTTAAGGAAGATAAAGAAACAGATTGCTTTCAATTTTTGGTATTTGGCCTACTTCCTCCTCTTAGTTTCGCTTCTTTTCCAAATATTGCGATGGGGTGGCCCTGTGCTCCATGCCATGACCACTGTGAGCATCATTTTACACAAAACAAGGGATTCTTTGAAGTGGTTCTGTGTCGTTTAGTGAATTGTATGAGTTGCTGATGTCTAGAGACCAGAGTACTCTTTAGTAATTCGTAGATGGGGGATATTGGTAAGAGTTATGACTGCTTTTCTTGCAGCAGGCTACCTGAAATGGGGAAGGATGTGGCCAGGTTAATTTGGAGGTCTAACTACCAGTGCACTTTGAGACCTAGGACTCCATTTCATGCAGCCAAGTGACTGTCTGAGCACTCCATTCAGCAGACTGTGGAATTTAATTTGAAATGTGAGACTTCTAAATGGTTAGCTGTCACACAGTCACAGTGCAAGGGTTGTACTTAACATACACCCTGTTAATTCTAGATACCAGTATTCTGAAGGAAACTGTTGCCTCTGCCTTGAAGATGGAGGTAACAGGTTCCTCTGAAATCTTAGTACATATACATTTAATCACAGAATACTGAACTTGACTAACTACACTTCAGGAAAAAAATACTTGGAGTCAGACTTCTCTCACAAGCTGCTAGTGTCTTCAGTATACTTCAGGTTGCCAATTGTTACGAGCTTATGTTAGTAAAAGTTGGAATATTTTTAAAGCTTTCTTTTCTAGCAATTTTGTTCCCCCTATCAGGTCTAGAAAACAGAGATTAACGACCACGCGACACCCTCTATCCGCTAAAGTTGGCACTAACTTCGCCGACAAGCGGCGGTCGCTCGGTTGGTATAGTTTGTTTGCTGACTGCACGCCACGGAGTTTTGTTTGTGCCTAACCACAGGGCTGAATACCATTGCTTCATTTCATTCTTATGGACTTGAGGGTTCTGCTGTATGTATGCAATGAAATCTTGGGAATTCACTCATTTGAAGATGGAATTAGTGTCTGATATTTTAGACACTGTCTCTGGCCCCAGCATCGGGGATTTAGGTGATGAGTGTCATGCACTCCATTCTGTATATGCCCAGGGGAGTGCCAGTGACTGCCAGACTTTGCCCACTGTTCCCTCAGTGGTGTGTGTGCATATGATACCCATCACATCAACCCCTGATGATGGGGACAGAACTCGCATTTTCACATTGCTGCTCACCTGAGAAAAGATCACCGTGAAAGCTTCATATCATGTATGTACCTGTCACTTGAGGAAATCACAGAGTATGAGAGTTATGGTAATGATAATACGCTTAATAAAGTGGTTTGAGTGTGTCGTGTTTGATCACTGAAGTGTTTGTACCAAAGGTTAATATTATTATTACTATATTTTAGACATATCAATAGTGTATTTTTAAAGTGTGTAACATATTTTTGTAAACTTCATAAATTAATGTGCACTATGCAGAAATGAAGTAACAGGGTCCAGATGTGAAGGGCCACGTAGTGGTTTTCCGCTGGGAAATATAACTGTTGCATGACTGTTCACTTGTGAAGAGGAAGTGGGGATCTTGCAGCGGCTTAATACCCCACTGTGATAGATGGAACTTTATTTTATTCTACAGAGCAAGTTGTAAAGTTTTAACTCCTGCCTGTTTTGTATATGAGAGAGGTCTGGAAATTGGTGCACTATTTCTGCCCTAGTAGGGACTATTTTAGTGGAATGGTATAAAAGCTCCCTTTCTGTCTAATCAGCCAAGTTTGCCAAACAGGATGATCAGATCAAGCGGCATGCATGAGGGAAGACATGCTTACAGAATTTTGGTAGGAAAGCCTGAAGGAAAGAGGCTACGTGAGGATGTAGGTTTAGATGGAAGAGTAATATTGAAATGGATTTTATAGAAATATGATGTAGGGCCTGGACTGGATTCATGTTGCTCAGGATAGGGACTGGTGGCAGGCACCTGTGAACATGGTAACATAAAATTCTGGGAGTTTTGAGCAAGTATTCATTTGTTAGGAAGGGTTCTGCTACATTTTGTTACCAGCTGAGTTAGAGATGAAGTATCCCAATTTAGAGAGTTAGGTTGTGATAATGTGCTGCCTTGTCAAGATGTCACTCATCTCAAGCAGTGGTTGAATGATGACTAAATCACCTTCAGAGGCACACGCAGTCATGTTGAACTATCCTGCACAACAAAATTGGTCTAAACCCATCACCTAGATAGTTTGTGCTAATGCACTGGCTTCCAATAGGAGCAGTTCAATGCAGGCCCTGTATAGGGCACAAATTCNCTATATACATAAAAGTTGTGTGCCTTCATAATGCTTACTTTCTACTGCACAGACTTCCAGTCCTACAAATCTTCTGTCTTCATGATTATGGCAGTATAGCCTTGTAGCTGGGTGCCTTGGTTTTGGAGGGACATGCTTACAAATGTCACTGACTTAAAAATATAAATCTCTTCTGGTAAGGTTTAATTCCCTTATTTGGGGTTGGGAGAGGGACGTATTTTATGATGCTGCTACTGGCTGGTGGGTGAATGAGGAAAGGATTTGGAAGGAAGCAGTAATGGCCTAATGAAGGTACTCTCCCATCATTTACCCGGAGAAACAAAGGAAAATCGCAAGAAGCCTGTCAGGGTAGCTGGTTTCTTGATAGATTTGAGCCGAGTATCTTGCAAATGCAAGTGAAGTGTCTTCACTGTACCAAGCGGTTGACAGGTTCAGTTCTGTAGTTCACAGGCCACAAACAGTAATCATTTCCATGGAGCAGTGATCAATATTTGCTAACATATACATGAAGTCCTTACATATCTGAGAGGTCCATTACCATGTTCACAAGAGCCCATCATGATACCTATCCTGAGCCAGATGAATCAAATCTATATCCTCCCATCCTATTTCTTTAAGATCCACTTTAATTGATTCTCCCATCTACAGCTAAGTCTTTCAACCATATCAACCATCACATTTTCCAACCAAAACACTGTATGCATTACTCTTCACTGCTGCATGTTACGTGCCCTTCCCACCTCATCCCCCTCGATCTGGTCTTCCTAATAATAATTTATGCCGAGCAATGATTATGAAGCTCCTAATAAAGCAAGTTTTTCCAACCTCCTGCTAGTTCCTCTTAGGTCCAAATATTCTCAGCACCCCACTCAAAAAAAACCCTCAATCTGTCATTTTTTCTTCTATGTGAGAGACTGAGTTACACTGTTACAAGTTCTAAACATTAAATGTAAAGAAGATTTGAAAATGTTGTCTCATAGACAGTTTGTATTAAAAATTATGCTAGAGAAATGGAGAACGAGATTTTCTCACAAGCCATTCTCTTCTGGAACGTTGAGTACTTTTATAAACGTTAAAATGAAATCGCTATTAGGAATATAATGATGTTACAACTGATTTAATATGAGCAAAAGTATCTATATATCAAACAAGATGTGTGTTTTGTGACCGTAAGTACAGGTAGCAGTATGTATGCCCTGTGATGCTTTACAAGACTAGTTCCTACTGGACCTGCAGATACAAAGAATGTTGTGTGGCTGACAATCATAGATCATCATCATTTAGTTGATTTGTATAGAACCTTTTCTTCTGAGCCTGAATATGCACATATGATCAGTTTATTGGCATGTATATATACGTATAATTTATGTATATCTTTGTATTACATATTTTAATTTTGCTATTTATTAATTATAAAATAAAGTGTACAGTTAGTTGATATTTGGTTACTTTTGTCATTCTCATGCTCAAACCTTTGAGATCCTTACAGTATGGTATGTTTGTTGTCTTTTCAACTCTTTTAGCATTAATCTTAAACCAAGGACATACATTGAGGTCAGTCTCAAGTGAAGGGCCTCTTTTAGGAATCCTCTACTGAAATAATTACAGGATGAACACACCTACTTACATGACCTCACAATGCTGCATCCTGTTCATGAGGTTTATAAATAGTCATCATATGAAGTCACAAAACTATTCCACAAGAGAGAGTCCCACTATATTTGGATTGCTCTACACCATCAGACTGAAATTGTGCACAAATTTATATGAAACTTGCCGAGACTAGAAGAAAATTTTGTAAATCTGTGTTATAATTTGGTCCATCTTGTAATTCTATAAAAATATACAGTAAAACCTTGCTAATCCAGATCAACGAAGCAAAAGATAGCCCTAGGAGACCAAAAAAATGGAAAACTTAATAATGTAGGTAGTGCTGATTAAAATAGAAAAAATATCACTGCAGCAATTTCTTTCTCTGTTAAAAGCTAAAACCCAGGGTCCCCATCCAGCTCAAGTCAAGCCTGCATATATTCTTGCATGGCTTCAGTCTCTCCAGCTGCCCTCAACACAGCCTGAAAGTCCTCTTGCTCCTTAATCTCGTGTGTACTCAACTGAACAGAATTTTTCATATTTCATTCCAGAGTAAATATAATCATATTAGCAAGAGTTTACTGTGATTAAAATCATCGACTGCTAGGTTATAACTTGTATAATTATATATTAACATGATAGAATTATCATACTGTGTACATATATCATGAGAGAGTAAACAAATCTCGTAATCATGGTTTATGACACTGAAACAGGTACCTCTTCCAGCTGGCAGTCCTATCCTTAACTAGTAAGAAATATGACTGCTACAGAACAACATAACATTCCTTAGGTTTCTACAGATACAGGTTCATGGTGACAGGGCTTGCCTGGAACGTAGTACACTTTAATTACAATGAGACGTATATGAACATGACAGTAACATTCACAACTAGATGCTGACATGCAATACTTATTATTTTGGATTCATTATTGTGGCCAACAATATAAAAACACGATGGATAGAATTTAAATGCAGTTTAGGCCTAGAGATATACAGTATTAACAATGTCATTACTGCCCAGGGCCAGACAGTGATTTGTCCATAAATTTCTTCTTGGCAAAGCAGAGCCACCACTTTGATGGCTTCCCATCGTCTGACCCGAACACCTTGTCGCATACCCGCACGCCTGTCTCCTGTCGGATCTGTTGCAAGTACTGCCTCATCAGGTCTGAAATAAATTTACTGAAAGTTAAAACTAAAGATATAAACAAACACAAGCATAACAGTATATGAGTGTATGTAATGAAACCCCACTGACAAGATTCTCTGGTGAGCAGTGGATTCGAACACTAAACTGAAGAAAATGTAACTGACTTCAGATCATCGAAACCGAATGTAAAATGACAAGAAATTAAATTATGGAACATGGGGGGAGAGTTCCCTTGTACTTACCTTCTTTACGCTATAACCAGTCAAATGCCAGGCAATCCATATACAAACGGACCAGAACCCCATTTTTCAGTTTCCTCACTACATTTATCTGCTAACAGCTCAGTTTGGCAGAGAACTAGGCTATAGGCTCAGGAATCAAGGTTAGTTAGATTCCTGACATGGCCAAATGATCTCTCCACAGCGTCCAAACTAACTCTCAAGCACACCCAGTCTCCTATCCATTGGGTACCAGAGGCTCTATTCCTGGGAGTAAAGCTGACTGCTCACCCACATCTAATGCCAAGATTAAGGACACATGCAGGTATACCTCCACTCCCTCATACACCTTCATGGTAAACTATAAAAACTGTCCTTGTGCTTAATGGACCAAGTACAACATGTACTATGTGGGGAGAATGGATGGATGCATTTTCAACCTCAGCACTAGATAGAGCTGAGTGGTCAGCTTCATGCCCCAGCCACTTTACTCCTGGGGAAAGAGCCCCCAGTCCTCATTGGATAGGAACATTAGTTGGGCACCACGACTGGTCAGGATTCTGTGAAGACAAGACAACTCTCTTGCATCTACCAGGAACTTAATCAGCTCCTTGGCCTATTGCTGTACTGATGAATTAATAACATTTTATCGGTCCTAAGACTGTACACCATCAGACAGTAGTATGAGAGATAGTGAGGAACTGGCCGAAACTTGGAAGCGGTCATGTCCTAATCAAGATATTATCCTGGCATTTGCCTGGAAGGATGAAGGAAGCCCACAAATCAGCTGAGCCAGGATAGTTGGATGTCCCAGCTGAGATTCAAACTAACATCTCCTGAATATAAGTCTAGACTGTTACCTTTAGACCAACCTGTTCAGCATCACTATACTGGTGGGGATCTACCAGCTCCATACATCTTCATGGTTTCATGTTTAAGCTCAGGCACAACTTTACCCTACCGTCACCCAAACACTTCAGCACCAGTATTCTGCATGGTCACAAAACACTCACCAGCTTCTGTGGAATTGATAGGTTTGGCATAAACAGAATTCAGTGGAAATCCTGGGTCACCAGGAATGTCAAACTTGGATATTGCCAGCGTGTACATCTCGTGCATGCCCTGATTCTTGGTGCTACACTTCTGCAATTTCTTCAGACACTCTGTGATGTAGAGTGTAATATAGATCAGCACTCTATCTGCTTCACTCTGCCAACACAAGTCATGGATAAAACAGCTGCCACTCTGTGACTGGACAAATGTAGTTTCTCCTCAACCAGTGGGGCCAGAAGGTCAGCTGGGTGAAATGGAAGAACTACAAAATTACTTTTCAAACTGAATTCCCATTTAATGTTCCTCAAGTTAAGGTTTTCCCACATTTAATGTCCAATTTCAATGATTCGAAACCAATAATCTCAATGTTAAATTATCTCCATTTAAGAATTTCCCGTTTAGTGTTTAAAACCAGTCATTGGAGAAATCATAAAAGGGAGTTTCATTGCGTTTGAGTCACACAAAACCTTCTCTCTATTCTGGGGAACTTTGCCTCGGATGTAAAATGTTTTCCCATAATACATCTTGAACACCTGAGGTTACTAACAGAAGTACACTGTTTTATATAATTATAGTAATAGAACATATTACCAAAAGAAAGTTATGAGCTTCAAATTCTTAAGAATTTTCATCAGTGATCAATAAACTGGAGAAATGTGCATAAGTGTAAGAATACAACGCTTGAAAAAAGATAAACTCTGTTTTTAATAAGGTGGGATTTTGGTTTCTTGTAAAAAGAACCGCTGGTATGCAAGATGCAAAAGGTTGAAAACTGCACGGCTGCAAGTCATTAGCATACACACTATGTGACTTCACTACGGCCTAGTGCGCATGATCATATTTCTGCCACCACAGCCCAAATAGCTCATGTGCATTAGGCCAGCTCTCAACCTGATACATCTTAGTATAACAGTAACTCAACAAATGTATTTTGTCTCTCCCATGTCTGACAAGTGTGCCAAAGAATGACGACTGTACGAGCAGCACAGTGACCACTACATTGTCACAGGTGAAACACTTTAACAGAAATCTACCCAGGTTAAATTATTCAATTTTCCTGTGCCCATGTGACTTCAATTCCTAAACACCAAATTTTATTACAGACTAAGGCAAATTTCACAGCAAGAGGATGAAATATGGATAATAAAGGAAAAACCAAATCACTTACGGTAAGTGATAAAATAAGTATTTTAGCGCATGCTTATGCACATATTGCAACATGTGTTGAACTGGCACCATGGTCAATACTGTCAATGCCCACCCAAAACTCTATTGTGAAGAACTGAAAAGAAACCGAAAAAAGTTTCGTCAAATGTGGAACTTTCTCCAAGTAGCAGAAGTCATTGCAATGCTGACCACTGGAAGCTGTGCTTACTTCATGGTCGAACAAAGCACGAGGGAATACTTCCACAGATGGCACCCACTTTACAGAGAAGGGCTTACACATCTCTGTACATCTAAAAACAGTCAGTCTGTTTGATTCCAATAGTTGGATCAGAAGATCTAAGGGGAGACACAACAAAGCTTATGGAAATCTATCAGGCTAGAGCAGTGGTGCTGGTCCAGAAGCTGTAGAAGACTGAAAGAATTACTGCTACTGCAAGAAATTGAAGGTTACAGCCTCTGTAACATTAATAATGCTGATCAGACATGTCTATTTTTCAGTCTGAAACCTAGCAAAACTCTCACTTTTTGAGGACACTTTTGCCACAGTGGTACATAATCTACATGGCAAGTTCCAGTGCTCCTTGCACACAATGAAATCGATAGTTATAAACTACGACACTAGTAATTGGAAAGCAAATTCCAAGCTGCTTCAAGAACGTCAAGAAACTACCTACAAATTATAACATAATATAAGGTCTTGACAGACCACCAAAATATTTGAGTATTACCTCACACAACTCGTTACAAAAATGGGTGCTAAAAATAGCAAAACACTGCTTTTATCAGTGTTCTGCTCATCTGAAGAGCATATTTTTTCAGCTACATCAAAGTTCTGTTTCTTCCAGCTAAATAAACTACCCAGCCACAGCCTTTACTCTTGGGAAACCAGTACAGAGAGCAGCCGATTTCCAAGACTGCATCCATCAGAGCAGAAGCCCAGAGACTGATAATACCCACTACAATCAAGAATTCTTCTGCAAAGTGTGGTTTCTCAAATGATCATGTCAGCAGCAATGATGACAGTGCAGTGAAGCTCAGAGAAGATGAAGAGGATGACTGGAACAGTTTAAAACCTCTTGGAGTGCAATCTGAGGACTACCCAATATAAGACGGCGCTCCTGAAGTCAGTCAAGTGTGGAGTGTTGACCACGTGTCACATCAACATTTGACTAGGTCAGAAGAAGAACCAGAAGAGGAAGAGGAAGCTGCAGAACATAAATAAACATTCTTGGGTGCACTGAAAGGACTGGAAGCGGCCAGAAAATACATGTATCAGACTGATATGGAGAACAATATTATTGTAATGTGCAACAATGTTGGAAATGAACAATACATATACAGACTGAGAGCTCATGGAGAACAGAAACAGTGACTGACTGGTTGAAGAGATAGTGTAAGGAAGTATGCAACACATCTGCCAGTCATTCCAGAAGAATCCTGGGACAGGCAATTAAAATATGCCATGACAGCTTCTTTCCACATCCTTTCCATTCACCAGTTATAATCACCATCTCATCTTACCAATGTTACATAAACACAGCAGTTGATAAAGCATAGTGAAATAAACCAAGAATCATGTTTTAATTTACACTTACATTGTCAATGTTCAATCATAAATATTTTGCATGATTTCTCAAAAGTATGGCATAAAGAAGACCAGGGCTTTCCTTACATTGTAACATTCCTATTTCCCTGATTTTACACTTCCTTGAATTTCCGTTTGTTTTCCTTACAAAGTGTAAAACTGAGATTTCATAATATTTTGTTTACCAGACCCAGTAAATTCAGCTGCCCATTTACGGTTAACATTAAATGGTATATATTTGCAATAACTGACATTTTCATTAATATTTATGTTAAAGCCTGAAATTCATACATTTGCTCCTGTACAGTGCAGCATACTATGTATGTAATTGAGCACACATTATGTATAATGTTGATAGGAACTGCAGTCACCTTCTCGTTCTTAGTTCTAAGTTCAATACCCTAATACCTTTTTGCAGTAAAATTCTAGTTTGTGGAGACATCAGGGCAAGTAGGCACCCTCCTCCCCAGCACCATCAACATTAGAAGTCCAATTTTAACTACATAATTCAAAACCTAACCTCAGGTGTGCATTGTTTAAGATACAACAGCCCAACATTACACAGAAGCGGTGCTGGCCAGTGTCTCACAAGTGCCTCCACATACTAGAATTTAACCCTCTTTCCATGCCAAGAACCCAGTCTGTACTACTTTCTGACATGCATGCGCGCGCGCGCACACACACCAACAAAAAAAAAATATATCTTTTTGCACTGTAAAACATTATTATCCCTCGGAATATGTGTTCTGTGATAGCCAAGACATCAAAGATGGTTTCTTGAAGAAATGCTAACTCCATGGAGCTGAGCCCTTCTTGAGAAGCCACAAGCTGCTCAATTATTTACCAACACATTATGGAACCCAAAGGCTCATTACCTTGATCATAAGAGCCCTCCACTGGTCCCTACCTGAACCAGACCACACTAAGATCCATTTTAATATTATCCTCCCACCTATGTCCAAGTCCTAGTGCAGTCTTTCCATCCGGCTTTCCCACCAAAATCCTATATGCATTCCTCTTTGCCTCCATCTGTGCCACATGCCCTGTCCATCTCATGATACTTGATTTGAACGAGTACAAGTTACGAAGTTTCCTCCAACCTCCTGTCACTCCATCCTTCTTCAGTTCAAATATTCTCCTCAGCACCCTGTTCTCAAATACCCTCATTCTATGTTCTTTCTTCAATATCAGAGACCAAGTTTCATAGCCATAGAAGACCATGCACAGAATTATAGTTTCATATATTCTAACTTTCAAGCTTCTGAAAAGCAGAAGACAGAAGGTCCTGAATTGAATTGTAACTTGTGAACGAAAATCTGATATGTTACTGTTGTTCCTAAACTTCTGAACTTCGCCACATTTTCAAATGATCTATTACCTATTTTTAAGACATCATTTTGCCCTGCATTCTGTTGACATCAACATATACTTTGCATTTACTTCTGGACCAACCTACTTGCTTGTGACAGAACTTCTGCTTTCTTAATAATGTTATACTGAAAAAATACAATTCTGATGGATGTTTATACCTTGAACCTTACATTCGTACCTTTATTTCGTAAGTTCTAAAAAATACGTTAGCTTTAAAGTAATATAAAGCTTCATCAATTATATCAATATCCTTTGCAAATGATGGGGCTGGTCCTCTAAACTGTGTTCTGAAAGGGAGAATGGCCATGTTTCCAACCATTTGGTTATATTCCAGAAAACATGAGTGGTACGCCTGCAAAAGAGATTAATCATTATGCTTAATATATATTATTATACGTGCTGAAATTAAACAGGATGTATTCACGAGGTATATATTTATCAAACTACAGAACATGTAACCTGATGCAATACTGCAAGAATGGGGGTCTGTGGGTATATAAGCAAATATTTTTACAGTCCTAAGTGGCACCACAAATTTACTTCAGACTTGAACCAAAAAAGAAAATGAACACATAACCTTATTACACCCACATGATATTTCAACGTTCAAACACTACACTATAAAATATGGGTATCAAATCTGCTTACGGGCATTATAAATCGATTTAAATATTTTTTATAGCTTATAACAATTCTTAAAGTATTAAGTTTGCTAAATCGTCAAAGGCATATAACATTAATCAAAAACCACTGACAGAACACAACGCGAACGACAACAAGTGACCGCAACTGACTCATCAGACAAGCCCTTAGCTCTATGGCTCTATGGAACGGTATAGAACTCTGTGAAAGTCAATGTAAATTTCGGGCAGCACAGGACCGCCGTGACGCCAAGCAAGCATTACTGCTCTCTTTTGTCTGTAGGTTATCAGATACAAAATGGCCGCCAGCCCCGAAAGCACGATCGATAACAAAGTACACTACCATACACCTGTTTGTGCATCCTGGTTCGCCGCAGCACCCCGCAACCCGATTCATCACTCCTTTTTTGACAAAGATTTTTTTTCTCCTAGGCACGAACATGTTACTCTGGTAGTGTTTACAGCAGACTATGCCTCAACTAATTTAGCTACTCCAAAACTCAGCTAGTCAGCTGAAGAGCTGTAAGTGTGACCACAGCAAAGTTTAAGCTTCCTGTACCTCCTATGCATCGCTTCTCCTTGTGTAGAGGGTACGCCAGAAGTCCCTTTGCATCTATTGCATATGATATGTATACTCAAGAGAGTCCCCGTACATTATTACAAACACACTCCTTATACTTACTCAAGGTACAACAAATGTTCGAAATGACCACCATGTGCCTCTAGACACACATTGACACGTCTTATCATTTGCAATGTTATGGGACAACTGAATGAGAGACGCATTCCTGACGAAATTTGCGATTGCTTCCTTCAGTTCAAGAAGTGTGAGGCTTGTCCTTGCAAACCAAAACTTTCATTGCTCCCACACATAAGAACCACAGGACTTATTCTTGGGAAACCATGGTGGCTGACTGTCCTTTGAAATTACTCTGTCCCTGAACAACTCACACAGGGGCGTCACAGAAGCATGAGCTGTGTGTGCAGTATCACCGTCCCCTTGCAAGCAACTGCAGTCAATTTTGTCCTCATTTACATGCCCAGTGAAGGAGTAAAGAATCACTTCACACTAATGTTCTGAGTTGATAGTGTCACAGAATATGCAGCCACTTATCCAATTTCATGACATGGCGCACCACACACCAACCTTATCAAGTAATGGTACATCCTTGATCTCATGTGTATTACTCTCTGAGTAAATGCATCTGTTTTAATTACTGACATAATCAGATAGATAATACCACACCCCATCAGTAATATCCTCAGAACTGGCAGTAACTACGTCTGTGAACCATCAGCAATATTCAATATGCTTCATGTCACTTTCAGCCAGGTCAGCACTGATAGATTCTAATGGGTTCTGGTGATGCACTAATGTTATCTTGCAGGGATGCAGGTGCAACTCCTCCTTCAAGACTCTAATTGTGCTGCCATATGCTGCGCCAATATATGAACATTAATTCTAACAATGTGCAGTTTTATCATTTGTGGTCTTGCTGCACAGCAACTTCCAGCTCACCCACTGTGTGCACATGTATAATGCTTCGGTTATGTTCCCACTCTTGCCAGTTGGAGTAAGTTACTGGGAATTAAACTGAAGAACCTCTTGATGTCTTATATATACAAGATGAGAGATGTCCACCTAAATCCAAAATCCCCTAACTGAAATCAACTGGAATGTCTCAATTATATAATACATAGGAAAAATTAGTATCCATAATTTCTTGAGGCAGTTCAACTTGGGTAAACTTGAATGAAGCTACATAAGACACTGACATTCAGTTACTTCACTGAATTAAAAGTACACAATCTTTCACATGCCACAAACATCACTGATATGAATCCAAAATGTACATAGCTCAACCATCTAACATTAACGACACACGGGAGAAAACCATCACTAAAGGATTATAAATAATGTGTAACATGCAATAATATCAAAGTGTTCTGATATCATTCACATGTTTACTACTTTTGTAGAATAAAACACAAGATCATCAAAAGCACAGAATGTTATTAGCTCAAACATGATAACGACGACTAAGCTTAAAGCATCTCAAAGTAATATGAAGATCTGAACCATAAGTGCAGGTTTAATTTCTCAAACTGGAGCATGATTTGCAATGTTTCATGTCCTGCCCAGACATAAACATTTTTTTCATTTTTTGCTTTCCTCAACATTACATTTATTTTGGGCAGCCCCTGAAAAACAGTAAATGTGCAGTTTTACTCTATGGCAAGCATGGGAGACATGGAGGAATACATAAAATTATTAGTAACATATGAAAAGGAGAGACATTTTGGGGAAATAATTATAACATGGAAGTTAATTTCCCCTGCCACTTCAGTGTCTCAAGACAGTTACAGTAATGCACCATTCTGGTTTTAATAGTCTGAGGACCAGTCGCATTATATCATGCTTTTGGCTTTTATCCTTTAAGAGACAGGCCATTTAAAATCCCGTAATGGCCATGGGCCAGAGTTAATTTAAATGTCCGCCACTATAGAGTAATAAAAATTGTAAGCATGTTACTGAAAATGCTGTGATTTCTACAATTTTTGTGACAAACGAACGAAATAAACGGTGCGTTTATCTAGAAAGAATACAGAATCAGATATTGTAATTTACAGATTTTTGAATCTGTAAAAATTGTTACACTGATTAAAAAAAAATCCCCAATTTTGAGCGTCTGTCCACAAATATGCAGTCAGTTTCTGTACAAAACATTTCTGCAGTATAAATGCATGCTGCTGACGCACTGTGTTACAATGTCTTATCTGGCAACAGGAGGGAAAGTTTATATTTGTACTGCACATTCTCCAGTCACGTCGGAACCTTTCTGTATACACCAGTGTGGGTAAAGTCTTATCGTACTTTGTCCTTATGAAACTCTGCCTGTTTATATCTCAGACTAGCCACACAGAGGTACTGCTCTTGGAATATCCCCGCAATGCCCCGTTGCTTCCGCGACCCTTCAAAGTAAACTGTATCGCATTCTGAATGGTGTGATTTTTTAGCGGCCTCTCAATTTCGGCTTCTTCCGTGCGAAATGGAGCTATGGTGTATAGTTGAAATTGCGGTTTTATAAGAGTTACGATTAGAGGACATCACTGGCCTACTTCCTGTAATACGAGAGTGAGGTGTCATGTGTGCTCTTCGCATGGGAAATGGAGTTACATATGGACAAAGTGCATGAATTGCAGCATCAGACTCTGCATTCAGTTAGTTGACGCAGGAGGGAAGACAGTCTACTTATAAAGCAGGTGCCAAAAAAGAATGTATGTAGAACAAGAATTTCTATCTTAAAATTAGATTTTAAAACACTGTGCACACGCGTGGACTGCGCGTACCCATATGGTGTCGACGGCCACTCGGCTATACTTTAAAGGTCTCCATATGGTGTCGCTAGGCTCTTAAAGGTTAAATGTGGCAGACTGGTCACATAATATCATGATTTTAGGACAAGTTAGGTTGTAACACACTATATCTTGCTCTGGTGCAACCCAAGTTGCACGCAGCTGCATAATAAAACTCTGGAATGTTTACTTACTTGTCAGTAACTTGACCTTGCTGTTTTCTTAACCCACTATAAAGGAAAATGATTTGCCTGCTCTGCCTTTGTATGTATAAGGCAGTAGTTAGTGGCGGCGTATGAATCAAGGACAAATTCTTCTCGATGAGCTAGCTGACCTGCCTTGTGAGACACATAGTCATGGTGAGTCAGAGAACAGCAGTGACAGGGGAGAACAAAGGATTGTGGCCACAGACAGTAAAAGTGACAGTAGCTCCGACAATAATACGTGTAATAACATTGCGGGGACAGTAAAAAATCTAAAATAAAATCACAAAAATCTAAACCGATTCAAAATTGAAATACAAAGCATTTCTGATGAATGTGGCAAAGGCCTGGGCTACAGACCAGAGTCAGACAGACTTAGTGCGACTGGGCCCATCAACTCCCACCCCACGCAGGCCTCATGTGGACACCCCAGGGTGACTCTCGGGTGATATGCGGAAAAATACCCTCATGAAAATTGTGAAGAGTGGACATTCCAAGGGGAAGCACCCTTCTAGGCAATGCCATGTTTGCACAGTTCACAAAAAAAGGAGTATGTCTACATTTGCAAGTTCTGTGTAATGCCACTTCACAAAGGGGAATGTTTCCAGAAATATCACATCTTCAAGCACTTCCAGGAGCACTGGCATGTGTTCTCCAAAAATTTCAGTTCATAACATTAATTAGGAGATTTTATATTAATTTTTAAAGTGAACAGTGCACAAGTTAGGATAGTAATAATGGCAGCCCCAGGGTGATTTAAATATTTAAATCGCCAGTCAACAATCAGTTAAAATAAGTACTGAATTTTCTAGTGAGTGGGAAATAATTGGTTTTGTTTGCCCTGTGGAGGCACTGAATATTTTTTACTGTCAGTACTATGCATATATGAGGACAAGAAATATAAACGTTTAGGGTGACACAGAATTGTATGCCATCATGTTTGCCATACTGAATGAAGGAGACAAACCATTCTCAGAAGTTCATAATGTATCCTCACACCATTCACTTAGCTGGGACTGTGAACACTCCCTCCTATATATCCAAGCATCATGTGACTAGCCACAGAACATATTCTTGCACCAAGCAGATGGACATTAATTAATTTTCATTCAGATTCTGGGAGCACAACAGTATCTTACACATGACAGGAACACAGCCAATGTGCACTTTGTATGGAATGACCCCTTCAGCCATTGGAAAGATTTATTACACACCCTAGGGATCCAAACAGGCCACACTGTTTACGCATTGATGTCTACTCTATTTAGTCAGCGCTAGCTTACACACATCACACAAATATGGCTTCTTGTCATTATGTGTGTGATGTTTTATCAGACTCCTGATACTCAACCATTTATTACAAAAACCACACCAAAATGACCATCCCCTCTATAGACTGGTGTCTTGAAATACCTCTTCTGAATGGATTTACTGCACACACCATAAGAAAATGTCTGCTCCCCAGTGTGTGTGTCTTGATGTGTAATCAGGCAATTCTTAATAAACTGCTTATTTAACACATCTGAGAGAATGGCCGCTCCCTATTGTGTATGATCTGATGTCTCTTTAGATGACTCTTATTGCTGAATGACTTATTACACACATCACACGTGAATGGCCGCTCTCCACTGTGTATGCGCTGATGTTCCTTCACGTGACACAGATGCCTGAATGATTTATTACACACATCACAAGAGAATGGCCGCTCCAAGCCATGTATGCTCTTATGTCTCTTCAGATGACGCTTAGTGCTGAAAGATTTACTGCACACATCACAGGAGAATGGTCGCTCCCCCCTATGCATGCGCTGATGTTCCTTCAGACAATTGTGATACCTGAATGATTTATTACACACATCACAGGAGAATGGCCGCTCTCCATTATGTATGCGCTGATGTTCCTTCAGATGGCTAGGATACCTGACTGATTTATTACACACATCACAGGAGAACCGCAGTTCACCTCTATGTGTGCTCTGATGTCTATTTAGATGACTCTTACTGATAAAAGCCTTATTACACACATCACAGGAGAATGGTCGCTCCTCAGTGTGTGTGGACTGATGTTCCTGCAGAAGACTCTCTTGCCTGAATGATTTATTACACACATCACAGGAGAACGGTAGCTCCGCACTATGTATGTTCTGATGTCTATTTAGATGACTTTTACTGCTGAAAGCCTTATTACACACATCACAGGTGTGTGGTCGCTCCCCAGTATGTATGCGCTGATGTTGCTTCACACAAGTCTGATGACTGAATGATTTATTACACACATCACAGGAGAATGGCCGCTCTCCACTATGTGTACGCTGATGTTCCTTCAGATGACTGCGATGCCTGAATGATTTCTTACACACTTCGCAGGAGAATGGCCGCACCCCACTATGTATGCGTTGATGGGCCTTCAGATTATTATGCCGACTGAATGACTTCTTACACACATCACAGGAAAATTGCTGCTCTCCACTATTAATGAGTTGATGCTCCTTCAGATTATTTTCACCAAATGATTCATTACTCATACTGTAGGAAAATGGATGCTCCTCACCACCTACAAGATGATGTTCATGTGGTGATCTCTGTTCCAAAAGAAAATAAAAATATTATGTTCAATCTCAACAGAAAGAGAAATCAGCTTCAAAGTGTGTGTAAATCAGGCAATTAACTACACATTAACTGAGCTGTCTTTTACAAAATGCCATTCAACAACCACAAACTAGTGGATACTGTCCATTCAAGATACTGCAAGGTCATCAAAAAAGAACGCTGGGATTATAAAAAACTATAACTCAAAAACTGTCAAACATATCAACCTGATTCAAGAGTTAAATTGATATGAAATGTTTGAAGTTTTGTCTTACCTTAATATGTTTCAATATGTGCACCAGTATTTGATCTTGTGCCAAGTCCGCTGAATCATATCTGGAGTTACCGTTGTGATGGCTGTTGTCAACCTACCTCATAGGTGCCATAGATTCTGAATCTTTTTACCATACACAATGTTTTTGGCATATCCTGGTCATCAGGTTTCATTTCTTTCTTCAGCCGAATGTTGTAGGCATAAAGGTCTGTGAATGACATTTTGATTCATAGTTTCCGGAATCCCCAATTCTAAATTCCGACAAGTGACTGACTTTTTAGGGCTTCTTACACAGGAATGTCTAATGCACTCCACATTCTCCTGGTTGACCTGAAGATTTCTGTTTCACAGCACTTCCCCTTTCTTTGAACTGTTTCAACCAATGATTAAGAGCCTTATCATCTGGTACTTCTTCTCCTGGATGTGACCTTCGACACTTACATTGCACTGTTACAAATTATTTCAATTCTGCATACCATAAACAAACTCTGCCTTATGTTGCAGGGTCCACATCTCGCCTGACACTAGCTCGCACTGGGAGGTAAAACTAGCAAGACTCTGGAAGTCTGACAGCTGGCCTTGGGCACAAGTTGTATTCATTGGTCAACCAATAAAAGCATCTCAATGTCGCTTGATACCCACCATCAACTCAGCATATCCAAAACGTATCTTCTTTCGCCACATTTTAAAACTTGAATCATTTGAATGATATAGTTCCATAATCCCAGCATTCTTTTACGATGACTTTGCACATTGCTTATCATGAGGTTACTTCTGAGTGGGATGTGAAAAACATTCTGGAACCTTCTTTAAATAAAAAGAGCATTACACAAATTTTCATCGGGACAATGCACCAGCACACAGAAGACTATTGGTATACGTTATGTTGCTTCGAACTGTCTTTCATGCTGAATGCTACCACCTTAATGTGAGGTCAGAAATTTGAATTAAATCTTGCCATTACACATATTGAACCTGCTCACAACAAAATGTCTGCATTTCCATGGTGTCCGTAACATGGCCACAAATGAATGCATAAGGTTCTGTTCTTGTGTAGGACTGATGTCAAACTATACAGCTATCTGAACATTCACAATTTTCATTCTTTTTTTGCAATAGTGAGAAATCCTCCACTTTAATATTGTATTCTTACAAACTGCAAGTAACTTCATGGAGCTCAGTCCTTCTTGAGAAGTCAGTTGCTGCTTATCTAGGCAACAAACTAAAATGTTTTTTATGAAACCTGAAGATTCATAAATGTGTCAGAAGTAGGGTGACCAACTTTCGGTCATGAATTTAAGGGAGATTTAGTCACGACAAATTTTGTGCATTTTTTGTGGCGCGGTGTCAGTCCAGCAAACGTTCACTTTCACTGCCACTACTCATTATGAAAATGGATTCATTTTGGTAATTATTTAAATGCACGAGGATGAACACGGCAAGAAGCAAGAACACAAAATATTACAATCCGGAAACGGATATTCCGCTATCGATTAGTATATGCTAAACTTTCTATTGATTATTATAGGTAATTTTTCGATATTTATCGATGAGTCTAAAGTCTAAACTGTCGATAATAATGACAGTTTATATCAGAATGTATTTGGCGGGAATAATATATAATTTAAATTTTGCGATCTTGATTGTTAATGAAATATACGGGAGAAATAGAAGGTCAATACGGGAGCCGGGAGGATCTAAAAAAATTAGCTCTAATATGGGAGATCCCGGGAAATATGGGAGAGTTGGTCACCCTAGTCAGAAGAGGTCATGTATAAAGTTAGTGACCCTATTTATATATGGTGATGTGCTCAGCTTAACAAATAAAGAATTAGCACAATGAAGTCTTAAGTCATGTGTATAATCTGTAGGTCATTAAATTTTAAACTGATGGTTTCTCCAAAAAGAAAGTGTTTATTTTTGGACATTCTTAAATGTGAATATCCATTTTTGATTAGTGATGAAACTGACAAAAACAAAGTGAGACATCAGCATTTTTTGAATCACTGTAAATAATGTGTTCTTTCTCTGTGGGAAAAACCAGTGCTGATAAAGGCTTGGAACATGCAGTAATAGAAGGAAAAGTTGAGTTCCAACTGTTCCTCACAATCAAAGGTTCCAATTGATGGACTGTATCTTGACAATAATTCAGAAACCATCTCAACCAAACTTCAAGCTATTCTGATAAGTGTCCTCGCTCTAGTATCACTCAAGCAAGAGAAGAGCCTCAAGATGTCAAATTTATATCCATAATGACTGAGCAATCCAATCACCAACACACTAAACTTGTTCCTACTTTGGTACATAACACAGTTCCACAGCATGCAGTAAAACTGAAAATTCTTGAGTGCACGAATTTGTGTGGGAAACCTTCCGCACAGTCAATTGATTGACACAGCATTTTTGTCACGTTTGGTAGATAACACTAATGCAAACATCAGCTGGGCTAAAAATCCTTTGAAATGCCCTGAAATAAAATGAGGGGAGACATTACAAGTGTGGGATCTGCAGCACATATAACACACAATGCCCTGCAGAAGCAGATTCTTTACGAGTGGACACAATAAGAACCGCGAGCAAGATATATCAGCATTTGTACTGTGAATGTTCATACACTGGAGGATTTGCGTTGGCCTGTTGGTTTGTGCGCGGTGGCAGAAGGAAGCTGATTTCTGAAGTGTCGTGTATATAATATTGTGACATGAGACCTGAAACCCAAAATAGTTCACTGCTATGCAATGTCTCGGTAAACAAATTCCCGCAAAGGCGGTCATGCGTAACAACAGAACAGCAGAGGCCCGCGCTGCATGTGTCGCTACTTAACAGTGTGGTAAACACATCTCTGCAGCAGTGAATCAAAATGCAACAACAGAGGAAGCAGACTTTTCTGTGGGGGCCACCCTGATGCCACGTAATGAGGATCTCAAGCAGCCACAATTAGAACCGAGCAGAGTTCTGTAGTTGGCTGTTGCAGCAGAGAATTGAGAGTCTCCAGGGTTAGCAGAGTAGGGGCAAGAAAGGGATTGGCCAGTGCAGAGTAGAATTCATGCTTTTATTTGAAGTTACAATGAGACTGTTACGAATCTGTTACCAGGATACTACTAGTGAAGACTGAGAAGACTTAGCATGTTCTAGTGATCTGCAAAGAAATGGTGCTGTATTATTTGTAGTTACGAGCTGAATGTATAAGGTGTCAATAAATCCAATCATCCAATCCAAACCTGTCTATAGTCACACCCCTAAAATAGGTGACAATGTATATTTCATACCACCAATGACAATGCAAAAGAAATAAATGACAAATTTTCATATAATTACTGTTCCTGAGAGCTGTATGAGAAAATCAAAAACAGTTGATAATATCTTCTCTGGCTAACAACTATGTCAATTTTTTAAATATAACTCCTGTTTCAGGACCCATCTCTGTCTCCACTCTGAGGGTCTGATGTGGCGTGAGATTCAGATTATCCCATCTACACACCAGCCCACAGCCTGAGATCAAAACAGTGTGAGCCAATGAGGTGCTAGAGGGCAGAGTCACGTGTTTGTCTTGGTCCTGTTTCATTATATTTGCCACTAGGTCACTAGGGCAAGCTGACACTAAAACCCACATCCCTGATGAAGTAACTTCAGGCTGTTGCTGATCTCAAAGGCCTTTGACTGATAGCACAGGAATACTTTATCAACTTCAGATACTGCGAAAGCTTCAAATCTTCCAATTCAATGGCTGTATGTAGCATTCAGAGCTCAATGGAAGTACGGATCAGCAAAACGTATTTGGTGGTAGTAATACAATTTGGAACACCTTTTATTTCATCAATATGGAATTTTATGTATCTTACAACTGCCTTAAAACAAAATGTAAGTTGTACTCTACAAGCAATACATGCCAAATTACAATCACAGAGAGATAATTCAGAAAGCACTCTTCAAAATCCTCTCACAAGACAGGAGCTTTATTATGTGGAATGGCAGACAGACGGATACAGGAAACACACCTTCAGTTCTGCAAATGTTATGTGAAATCTGAGCAGTGGGCGATACACACACAACTCACCTCACATTCAGCCTTTACTGCTGGATGTGATATTGGTAAAGGATCCTCATCCTCCTCTTGTAGCACTGGGTCTTCCTCAACTTTGATATTCATGGCCTGATACACATCAGGGGAAGAGGCTGGATATATCTCACTACAGGGGCCTGGTACATGTTTCTGTAAGTCCATGCAGTTCTGCAAAACCACCGTACACTTATCAGCCACAGCTGTGCTCTTTCACTACATGCCACATGTCTGAGGCAATTTGATGTCTGCACTTAGACTGAGGCAGTACAGTCAACTCTTGATTATCCGGGGGCGGATTAACCGGTTTGCGGCTTAACCGGGGCTACTGAGTCTTTTTTGAGGCTTATATGTTGTTTAATATTCATTCACTTTTGTTTCACATGGTGAGTTGTAACACTATTTTCGCACTAGTGTGAATCGAGCTCTGCATTCTTTGGTCCATTATGCTAACACAATGTTCTAGGGTAGGGGTGAAAGAATGCAAGGATTTGTGGAAAGTTTCAAGGACAGATACATCGCCCCAGTTAGTATCTTTGTATTGATCTTCAAGTGCGTTAGCACAATGTCAGGGTGTAAAAGGAAGCGTGTTGTGTTAAGTATTCAACAGAAACTTGAAACTATCAATCAGTTGGGAAAAAGAGGTGTAGTTAAACAATTAGCAATGCAATACGGTATTGGAGAACAACTGTTCGTGATTTGAAAAAAGAACAAAAGAATCAATTAATTTCCTTTGCTTCATCTTCTACTTCAAGCAGAATGAAGAAGAGAAAAACCATGAAAAAATCAACATATGATGATCTCGACAAAGCACAGGGAACAACAATAACAGGAGCAGTATGTGCTAAACAAACAAATTTTTTTTTCGAAGCACTTTAACTACAAGTAAGTTTTGACACTTCTTCCGGTTGGCTAACAAGTTTCAGGCAGCGTCATGGAATACGAGAAATTAGTATTCAAGGTGAGAAATTGTCAGGGGACTTGTCATCATCAGTTCAATTTTGTACCAATTTTGATAGTTTCGTGAAAAGTGAAAATCTGCTGCCAGAACAAATCTATAATCCCGGTGAAACGGTTCTTTATTGGAAATGCTTGCCAACCAGAACTTTGGCATTTCAAAATGAAAGACAGGCTCCAGGTCACAAATCCAGTAAGGAGAGATTGACAGTCTTGTGCTGTTCTAATGCATCAGGAACACACAAACTAACAAAGCAAAAAGACCACGCTCTTTTAAAGGAACAGGAGCTTCAAGTTTGCCTATCCATTATTTTAACCAGAAAGTAGCTTGGATGAATAGAGCGATATTTAAAGAATGGTTTGATTTTAAATTCGTGCCTCAAGTTCGTGACCATCTAAAATCCCAAGGCCTACCTGAGAAAGCT